GGAATTCCATGGATCCCAATTCCACAGATCCCAATTCCCCAGGGCAGGGAATTCCATGTCTCCCACTTCCCCAGGGCCAGGAATTCCATGGATCCCAATTCCACAGATCCCAATTCCCCAGGGCAGGGAATTCCATGTCTCCCACTTCCCCAGGGCCAGGAATTCCATGGATCCCAATTCCACAGATCCCAATTCCCCAGGGCAGGGAATTCCCTGGTTCCCACTTCCCCAGGGCCAGGAATTCCATGGATCCCAATTCCATGGATCTCAGTTCCACAGATCCCAATTCCTCTGGGCCGGGAATTCCATGGATCCCAATTCCCCAGGGCCAGGAATTCCATGGATCCCAATTCCATGGATCCCAATTCCATGGATCCCAATTCCCCAGGGCCGGGAATTCCACATCTCCCACTTCCCCAGGGCAGGGAATTCCATGGATTCCAGTTCCATGGATCCCAATTCCACAGGGCAGGGAATTCCCTGGTTCCCACTTCCACAGGGCCGGGAATTCCATGCATCCCAATTCCATGGATCCCACTTCCCCAGGGCCAGGAATTCCATGAATCCCAATTCCACGGATCCCACTTCCCCAAGGCAGAGAATTCCACGTCTCCCGCTTCCCCCGGGCCTGGAATTCCACATCTCCCACTTCCCCCGGGCCGGGAATTCCATGGATCCCAATTCCACGGATCCCACTTCCCCAAGGCAGAGAATTCCACGTCTCCCGCTTCCCCAGGGCCTGGAATTCCCCGTCTCCCGCTTCCCCCGGGCCGGGAATTCCACGGCTTCCATCCCCCCAGGCACTTTTCCGCGACGGGCCTGGATCAATTCCGGCGGCTGTGGCTGCTGAACGAGGCGGAGGCGAAGGAGCTGATCCGGAAAGCTCTGGAAGCCGATCGGCTCCTCCACGTCCAGCAGCTGGGAATTCCCTGGGAAGAGCCGCTCCACCGCTTCCTGGAAAATGTGGGACCCTTGGGAGAGAAGCCGGAGAAGCGGACGGCCCTCCGGGCGGCCCGGGAAGCGCTGGAAGGTGGGAATTCCGGGAATGTTCCCGGAGTGTTCCCGACGTTTCCCTCCCCGGGCCTTTCCCGGCCTTGCCGTTCCCGTTTGGGATCTCCCGGGAATCCCCGATTCCAGGAAAACCGGCCAAGAGCCCCCAGACACTCCGAGAGCCTTGGATTTGTTTTCCGGGGATCCTCTGGGGTTTTCCGGAGGATTTCAGGGAGAACATTCCAAGGATTTCTGATTTTGTTTCTCTGGGATTTTCCTGATGATTTTATGGAGAACATTCCAAGGATTTTTGGATTTGTTTTTCTGGGATTTTCCTGGTTATTCCAGGGAGAACATTCCAAGGATTTTTGGATTTGTTTTCCATGGATCCATTGGGATTTTCCTGGGGATTTCAGGGAGAACATTCCAAGGATTTTTGGATTTGTTTCCCATGGATCTGTTGGGATTTTCCTGAGGATTTTGGGGAGAACATTCCAAGGCTTTCTGGTTTTGTTTTTCTGGGATTTTCCTGATGATTTTGGGAAGACCTTTCCAAGGATTTTTGGATTTGTTTTCCAGGGATTTTCCTGGTTATTCCAGGGAGAACATTCCAAGGATTTTGGGATTTGTTTTCCAGGTATCCTCTGGGATTTTCCTGAGGATTTTCAGGAGAACATTCCAAGGATTTTTGGATTTGTTTTCCAGGGATTATCTGGGATTTTCCTGATGATTCTGGGGAGAACATTCCAAGGATTTGGGGATTTGTTTTCCAGGGATTTTTTGGGATTTTCCTGATGATTCCAGGGAGAACATTCCAAGGATTTTTGGATTTGTTTTCCAGGGATTATCTGGGATTTTCCTGA